CACAAACAATGCTCAGCTCCGTCTGCTTTTATTCAGCTGTGACTATGACGTAATTATCTTTACGGAAACATGGCTCCGTGCTGATATTGACAGTAGTGAAATTTCCTCGGATTACGTTTTCTTCCGCTGTGATCGCAATGAGTTAACCAGTCCTCATTTGCGGGGCGGTGGTACTAATTGCGGCCAATAACTACCTGGAGTGTGAATCAATTTCGATAGCTAACTGTGATAATCTTGAAAAATTGCAGTTTTCATTAAGTCGCAATCTCATTCGCTTTATGTAGTGGCTATCTATCTATTTATTCGAGACTGACATAATCCTATCGATCGGTGGCTTTAATTTTCCTAATCTGCGATGGCATCTTGACGAGGACATTAATGGTTTTATTCCTTCAAACGCCTTGACTGATACTGAGAGAAACTTTACAGAAGCTATGTTTGCCAATGGCCTGAGGTAGATTAATAACATTGTCAACACGAACGAAAGACTCCTTGACCTGACGTTCACCAATCTCCCGGAGAATCTGCGACTTTGACTTGTTGAATTCTATTTTTATAAATATTGAGTGGGAACGATTATCAAGTTATGCTTCAGTAGAGCAGATGTTATCAGCTTTCAACGAATCTCTCTCTGAAGTTATAAATCATCATGTACCTCTAAAGAGAAAAGCACCGATTTCTGCTTTCAACAAACCGTGGTGGACTGCAGAGCTACGTACGCTTTGGAATAATCTGCTTAAACAGATTTTTCCATACGAAAAATGTGTCCGATAAAGCTAGACTCCGTGAGCTTGAGTTGGTGTACAAAGCTGCCCTTTCTGCACACACGAAAATTATTTGTGTAGGATACAGACAACCGTCAAGGAAAATCCTTCGCGCTTCTGGGATTTCATCAAGAAACGCAAAGATGACTACGTCATCCCTGGCTCGGTCAACTTCGATTGAACTACTTCACGCTCAAGCTTGGAGACAGCTAATCTCTTTGCTAATTTCTTTGAGAGCGTATTTAGTAAAGCATCACCCGTTCAACGCCAAGCAGGCTTCGAGCAGATTCCGTCTCATAACATTAATCTACCATGAATACAGTTTTCTCCAGGCGAAGTTCAGAAAGCCCTCGAAGATCTCGATTCAACGAAAGGACCCGGAACGGACAGTCTGCCTCCTGTGTTACTAAAAAACTGTGAAGCTGCGCTTGCGTCGCCCATCGCTACTATTTTCAACCGCTCGCTCCAAGACCGAACGTTCCCAAATGCATGGAAAATGGCACCCATAGTACTGATCCACAAGTCTGGAAATAAAAAATGTGTCACCAATTATCGTGGTATATCCACGACTGATGCAAAACTTGAAATTTTCACTCCACAGTACTTAAACGGTTCCAAATTGGGTCCTGCTTAGCCTCCCAAAATTTGAACTACTTTAGTAAGAAATTGACTTGGCACAAACCATTTCAAGTTTATATGAGAATTACTATGGGAAAACTTATGTTTTTGTTCATATCTATCTAACAATTTACCACATCACTATGCTTTTAATAATGATAGCAGAGATTGTAACATTTTATCTCAGCATCAACTTTGTGTAAAACCACTTTTCAATCAAATGTAAGGAACAAAGGTTAATAATGATTCAAGTCACTGATGTCTTATGATTATGCTCATTCAACTGTTCAGCAGGCAACATTGGTGTATCTGATGCCAAGAATAGAGCACAAATATCATGGCTACTACATATGTCACACTCCAGAATACAGTGTTGCCCACAGAACCGCTGCTTGATCATCCCATAAGATTATCAATCTCTTAAACAATTAATAACAATTTAATTTGACATTTGGCTGAATAACGATATTGCGCAAAGTTGTAGCTTAGTAAATTTTCCGTAAGAATAGTTATAGACATTTGCGAAAAAGCAATATGGAAAATAGGTAGAAGACAATGAACAAAAAGTTTGGTTTCCCCATAGTAATTTCCATATAAACTTCGAATAGTTTGTGCCAAGTCAGTTTCTTACCAAATGAGTTTAAATTTTGGGAGGCTAATCAGGACCTGATTTGAAGCCGTTTGAGCACTGTGGAGCGAAAATTTCAAATTTTGCATCAGTCTAATATCCATACTTTGTGGTACCTCATCATTAGCTAAATGAATCATATAGGATTTCCAACCTGGCTCACGGAATGAATCAACTCGTACCTGTTTGACCGACTCAAACCGACTGTGTTGCAGTACAAGAAGATATAAATCGTTTGCTAGTCTGGTGCGGTGACAACGGCATGCGAGTCAACAGCAAAAAATCAATCCTTCACCCGTTGCAATAGCGCTACTCTTCATCCATACTGCATGGGACCAAATTCCTTAGAACGTGTAAACTCAATCTGCTATCTAGGCGTTCCGATCGATTCCAGGTTAAAGTTTTGTGAACACATAAGAATCGTAACTGTGCTTGGCTTCATTCGTCGTCATGCTTCTGGTTTCACCGATGTGTATTGCCTCAAGACACTATTCTGCTCGCTGGTTCGTAGTATCTTAGAATATGCTTCCTCAGTGTGGTCTCCATTTACACTACGCATACTCTCACGATCGGTCGGCTGAATACTCGGAGGAGATCGGTTGGCTGAAGAACAACAAAGCAACTGCCAAGTGAGCTATTAAAATACGGTGGTGAAGCACTGGCTAGAGCGCTGCACTGGGTAATTTCCAAGATTTGAGAGGAGGATATATTACCGGAGGAGTGGATGGAAGGTGTCGTATGCCCAATCTACAAAAAGGGCGACAAGTTGGATTGCTACAACTACCACGCGATCACACTGCTGGGCGCCGCCTACAAGGTACTCTCCCAAATTATATGCCGCCGCCTGTCGCCATTTGTAAGAGAGTTCGTGAGGCAATACCAGGCGGGATTCATGGGTGCCCGCGCTACCACGGACCAAATTTTCGCGATTCGGCGGGTTCTGCAAAAATTCCGCGAATACAACGTGCCTACACATCATTTGTTCATCGATATCAAATCCGTATACGACACAATCGATCACGATCAGCTATGGCAGATTATGCACGAGTACAGATTTCCGTATAAACTGACGCGATTGGTCAAGACGACGATGGATCGATTGATGTGCGTTGTTCGAGTATCGGGGACACTCTCGAATCCTTTTGAATCTCGAAGGGGGTTATGGCAAGGATAAAGCTGGGATAGACACGAGTGGCATGATCTTCAGGAAGTCCATCCAGCTTCTTGGCTTCACCGATGACATTGACATCATGGCACGGAACTTTGAGACGATGGCGGAAACGTACATCAGACTGAAGGCTGAAGCTAGGCGGATTGGAATTGCCATCAATGCATCAAAGACAAAATACATGAAAGGAAGAAGTTCTAGGGAAAACAATATTAGCCTCCCACCCCGAGTTCAGGTTGACGGTGACGAAATCGAGGTGGTGCCAAATATGATACCAGGTGGCGCCAAATATGATACCAGCAGAGAAATTCAAAGACGCATAATGGTAGGGAATCGTGTCTACTTTGGACTCCGGAGGACGCTCCGGTCAAATAAAATTCGCCGCCGCACGAAGTTGACTGTCTTAATGATTAGACCGGTGGTCATCTACGGCCACATGACCTGAAATATGCTCGTGGAGGACCAACGCGCCTTTGGTGTTTTCGAACGGAAGGTGTTGCGTACCATCTACGGTGGAGTGCAGATGGATGACGGAACGTGGAGGAGGCGAATGAACCACGAATTGCACCAGCTGCTGGGAGTACCATCCATCGTCAACATTGCAAAAATTGGGCGACTACGGTGGGCTGGGCTCGTCGTAAGAATGCTGCACGACGACCCAGTGACAATGGTTCTAGAAACCAAGACCAAGACCAAGTAGAAGGCGACCTGCGGACCCTTCGCAGACTACGAGGCTGGCAAAGTGTGGCCATGGATCGAGTAGAGTGGAGACGACTTCTTCGGACAGCAGAGGACAGCAAGGCCTTAGCCTGATTGGTAAGTAAGTAAGTATACTCTCACTATTGAACGGATTTAGAAAAGTTCCATGAGGTTTGCTTTACGTCAGCTCCCATGGAATGATCCAATCATTCTCCCTAGCTATCCAGACCGATGCATGTTGATTTATTTGGAATTTCTCTCTCTCTCTCTCAGCAAGGCGTATCAAATTGCAACGATTGTTTATCTTCGAACTGATTACCGGCAATGTGGACTGTACCGATCTCCTGTAACGGATTCCATGGAACATTCCTCCTCACAGATTTCGTAGCTCCACTTTACTGTCCATTCCATTCCACAGAACTTACTTTGGATTCAATAGCTCTTTTAACTCCTGTTTGCGCTCCTTTAATTATGTTTGTAACGAATTTGATTTTACTATGTCCAGAAATGTGTTTAGTAATAGAATGTTATGTTAGTAATGTTTAGTAATGAATAAGAGGTTTAGATTAAACAAACTTTAGTTTAAAGTAATCAGTCAGTACGATGTAGTCGAAGGCGGTGTGCAATAAATAGAATCACTTAACCTTTCTAGCTTAGATGCTTCCAACGACCAACCAATCATATAATTACCAAAAACTACGTACGGTACTAGATGTCCACGTTCAATCCATTTATTAGATTCTGAAGCATCGTGTTTAAATCTTCGATTTGAACAGGCCCGATGTTTTCTGAATCATCATGGAATGAAATTAAATCATCAGTTTTTACACATTGAGGATGACAACTATAGTCTCAAGCATCGTTTGTTGGTTCTCTTTGTAGCAACCGCGGGTGGTCAATCACACTCATGCTTTTCCTCAACCTTGTGTATCGCTATGATATTTAAAGGTAACCCTTATTCTATCCATCATTTTTAATTTCAAACGACTCTTTTCCTATGGCTTATATGCATTTGTATACAGAAATGCTCGGTCAAATTTAGTCACCATGCCCAACTCAGAGCATTCTTTATATCCATAACAAATTTTTGAGTATAGTAAAAAATAATGAACACACAACTTACGTTTGCACGCCTTTTTGTGCGTGATTGGCTTCGATGGGTCCTTGTAGAAACCTTCTCGGCAGTAGTGACAGTGCCGACCGGTTGTATCATGCCGACAGTCCATGCAAACTCCTCCCGAAACCCGTCCGGACAACTTGTAGAGATCCAAATTGAAGCGACACTTTCGCGCATGGCCGTTGCAGTTGCAAGCTGAAAGGTGGAAGGGAAAAAAATCGGAAAAAATGCTTGGAATTAATTGCTTATTTATTGGTTTGGCAGCCCAAATCGGCTGACCGGTCTTTTTTCCTCCGTCGCGAGACCTTTTAAGGTGATTGATTTTGTGGTAATTGCACGTGATAAAATTACAATTCTCCCGAGAGCCCTTGCCCGCTGATGGAGTGACATTGTCGTGTATGGCTCTCTCATGACGAAGGTCGCTTTGAAGAAAGATATCAGCAATTTGTCGTCGCACAGCTTGGGGAATGTGATCGTATAGAGCTGGAACAGTTAACATGGTCAGCCACGTAGGGAAACAGCGGTGATCAAGATTGAACCAACCGACGGCGGAGAAGATTGTGGGAAGAGACCATGGTAGCAGAAGATGATCCCAAAGAAGGAAACTGGTTTGAAACGAAAGAATGTTTTCCTGAGGTGAAATTTTCTCATGCATATTTCTTTCGTTTTTATGTGCCCGTTCTGTTTTGCACACAATGGTCATGTTTTTAAACTCATTGTTCTAAGTGATTTTTGTTTCAGTTGAAATAAAATATGCATTCATGTTTCAATTGACCCGAAAAAAAAATGGGCCCATCGTAAACCTTGGAGTCATCCGTCAATCGCTGCTAAAGTACACCAGTACGAATGGGACGCAGTTGTTGCTTAAAAGGTAAAAATTTATTGATATTAATTCGATCTCCAACTTTGGTCGGACCATCACGATTTATTGCAATTTTGTTGGTTGACAGTTTTTTTTTTTTCATCAAGCAAGTAATACTCGTTGCGTTTAGCTTACATACAACTTACTCCCATATGGATAAGGTTACCAGATTCGATTTCTTTAGTTCATATGAGCTGAAAAAATCTAGATCAGTAAAATGCTGCTTTGTAGCCGAAAGATGGAAGATGGAATAATTTATTTCGAGGATTATTTATAAGTATAGTCTCTATAATATTCTCATTTTTACAGATCATAAAGGGTTTCAACTCAATGTAGTAAACCAATTTCCTTGAAATTATCTGGTCATTTTTACATGATATACCACATGGACATCTACCCATAAAGAGTGGTCTAGTTCAATCTATGAATAAAATGGTAGATAAATTGTTTCATGTTTCCAAAACGATAATGCACTGCATTTTTCTTAATTCACAAATTTTAATCATGGTAAACGCTCATCAGTGCAATTCATGATTGATAGCGATGTGTGATGAAAACTGCAACCATCTCGATATAAATTCACCAAAAAAGCTTGCATAATCGCTTAAAGTTTTCAGTAAGTTCATGATTCGTTTCTTACATCTATTTACTCTCCATGATACGAGAAGAGGTTCTTGGTCCTTGGCATGCCAATTTTATCACCCTTAGAAGCTTTTTTTTTACTGATGCCGAACTCAACGCTAGGACCAGAAATTCACCCTTGTCTTTAATCCCATTATATGTTTTCACTTTAGCACATTTTGAGACCCAGCTCCGCAAGAAACTTTTCTGGATAATATGTTTAACCAAACACTAATTTGCAGCCGGATTCCTGCGGTGGGAAATCGTAAAAACAGCACTTACACCTCGAATATTGTGTAAGTTCATCCCATCGCATTTGCAATACCAGTAACATCACAATACTGAAACTTTACTGAGAAGCTAACTTTGTAAGTTAACCTGGTTTACAGTTAAGACCTAGAATACTCAATAAAGCCACTCTATGGTGTCAAAGAAGCCTTTCTTAGCTCAGTCGATAAAGGCACAGCTACAAAGCAAGACCATGCTGGAGATGGCTGGGTTCGATTCCCGGTCCGGTCTAGGAATTTTTCGAGTTGGAAAATCTCTCGACTTCCCTGACCAATAGTGTATGATTGTACTTGCCACACAATTATATTAATCCAAAAAATGATACAGGCATCGAAAGCTCTCACTTAATAACTGTGGAAGTGCATCTAGAACACTAAGTTGTCTTAACTATTAACTATTAACGCAATAATCTTTTATGCGATAAGCAATAAGCTTGAAATGATAAAAAGATAAAGAATAAGATCCTGTCAAGGCCATGCTTGTCTACGTATCTTTGAGTCACTATTTAATCCTAAAATTGCTACTACAATTATACAATAAAAAATCCATTTAGTTGATTCTCTGAGGTAATCAGGCTTTAACCCTTTTCGTGTACCTAGGGATCAATTTGACCCCAGGCCACTTTAAGAGGCTGTATTTTTTTTTATTTAACGATGGATTTTACTATTTTTTTCGTGACTAGGTGCTTTCACCAAACCTTTGTAATCTTAGATGAAATTTGCTCCAAAAAACTTGAAAAATGTTTTTTGGAAATGTTATATTGAAATACTTACGTTGTCTGTACCATGAGGTAAATTTGACCTCAAATTCAAATCTCTGTATCTTCCGCCACCACTGGCGGAATACCCCTAACCATCCCTCTCCAACGGGGGAGTTTGGTAAAGAGAGATGATCAAACCGATTTGTACCTTCCTAAAAATGTCCTTGCTCGCTTTCAACTCTTTATATGCAATTTTCACACTGCCGTTCTCTGACGGAACTACCATTTCTATATTTCCATCTCCTTACCTATCGTATAAAAATTACCACTTATTCTGTTATTTGAAATTAGCATCTTCAACTATGTAAATCGTTGACTTCACGCAGAAGTAATGCTAAACATATAGTCAAAGTATGTTAGAGATGTTTATATCACGAGATCCCAACCATATAGCTGCTTTCTTCTGCAAAGATGTTTAGCAATACAAGGTCTTCAAAACTATGGATAGTGTATGATAGAATTTGTCCTTGGGTACGAAAGTGACCCCGTTGGCTTCGTACCACTTAAGGACAGAATTTGAATAGTGGCACGAAGCTAGATCCGGCCAGAAGATCGTAGGGCCCTCGTGTTGCTTGAACAGAGGAAGCAGACGCTTCTGTAGACACTCCTTGAGGTAGATCTCCCCATTTACAGTTCCGGTAGTCACGAACGGTGCACTCCGTTTACCACATGAGCAGATCGCTTGCCAAATCATGTATTTCTTGGCAAACTTTGAAAGTTTCTGCTTCCCTACTTTCTCTGGAACATCAAACTTGTGCTGGGCGGTGAATAACAGTAGCCCCGGAAGTTACCGGAAGTCTGCCTTGACGTTAGCCTCATCATTCCCTGTATCGTGGGTAGATCACCTTTTCGTGGTATGTTACGGGATGTAAGATCTACCACCGATTCCTAGTCTTGACTACTTCAAACTAGGGGAACGACATTATTAAGTTATCAAAGGAACACATCTTAGTCCTTGCTACTTTTTATGCTCGGGGTTGCCTGGACCGAGGATGATCTTGAAACAAGGAAAAAATGAGTTAGTTAGTATTCACCCTATGTGATTCCTAATCTTCTATACGTTGTTCCCTAGTTTGAAGTGGTTAAGACTAGGGTTCTGATGCATGATCACTATCGGTGTCATTCTTTAATTTTGTTGCTAAGGAATCCATTTTTGACTGACAGAGGGGCGCGCTTTTGGAGGGTGTTCCAACACTCCGAAGGGTATAAATAGCGGGACCTTTCAATTAGAATAGATTCCTTGCGATGAAGGCAAAAGTGACAACTGTATCAAAACCGAATACTTCTTCATTTCTCAATAGTGATGGAGTAATACGACATGCACTAAACTTAGGATACGGGATATACTACAATAGATCAAATTACTGGTCACAGTGGAGTTATGTCCCGAACAGAAAAAAAGCCCCATCATCCATTTCCGGGCCCGTGACTTTCGCACCGTATTTTGCCGTTCGTCTCGATTTGGAGCCTTCTACACTTTGTACGTATGCAGTTCTTCCCGGTCCTTGGCTCTCTGAACGAAAGACTTGGACAAATTCAACTTTTTGGCCACATCCCTGACCAAAGCATTGGGATTCCGCTTGAACGCTTTCACGACACGCTTGTGATCCTGATCACTAATAGAACATCTATTCTGACCGCATTTCTCCTCCCGTACGATGCTCAGAGTTTTGCTGTAACGTTTAATCACACGACTCATAGTTGACTGCACGATTCCGAGTTGTTTTCCGATGTCCCGATGAGAGAGTTGAGGATTTTCCAGGTGCTTGTGCAAAGTCAAATCGCAACGTTGCGCGTTGCTTTTCGGATGACGCCATTTGTTCCAACTTTCGAAAAGCGGTAAAAAATAGAATGTAAACAATACACTTTAAACTACTTCTACCCAAATTTTCAAGAGAAAAACCCAATGGGTTATTTTCAACAGCGCTTTTTTCGTGATGCAATTTGATGTGGGACACCCTTTAGCTGGAAAAGTTTACCAGCTTTGCTTGTATAGAGGTATAATAAAACGTGCCACATGTCGCATAGAATTTGAATACAGCTTGAAACTGCATGACTATGAAAATAGCGAAACGTTACTTCAGATTTCTTACTTTTTTTTACTGATCACCCTTTTAGTTATTGTGGTTGTTTTTGTTGTTTATTAATGACATTTTACATCCTGCGGATACATTCATGTCAGTTCATTTGGTTTTAGTGAAATAGTGTACGGCTGTATTTTAAAGGAATGTGAGGGTGATCACTTAGATTTCTTATCATTTGCTCGTATCCTCTCGTTCTGGTTCATCATCTGCATGCTCATTTCTTGTTTGCAGTTCCGCTTGACTTCATGTGCATCCTCTTCATCATATTCTCGTCATCTCTTTCACATTTTTCGTCGTTAGCTTGTTTTTCTCTATTTTTTTCATTATTTTTGATACCTCCTCTGTAGTTTTATTGCTTCTCCCTTTTCTTCGTGTTATCTGAATCTGTGTTTTTTTCGCTTGCTTCCAAAATTCATTGGCAACTTTCTTCCGCTGCATCTTCTTCGATTTCCTCCCCAGCATTTTCTTCCATTCATTACAGACTTAGTTTCTTCTTCTGCATCGATTGTGCTTTTCTTTATCCGTGTCTTCATTGCCTTCATCCATCATTTGAGTAGCCTTCCTCCGTTCTCTTTTCTTC